AAAAAAAAAAAAAAAAAAAAAATCAAGTAGTGGTTCCGCCACCTGCTTCGCAAGCACAGGGTCACAAGTTCAATCTCCAGTACCACAAAAAAATAATAATAATAATAAATTTAAAATAAATCAAGCAGATATTCAAGGCCAGGGAGTAGAATGTTCCAAAACCAGCCACAGGAAGAGCGCAGCTCTCTGCATGCATCGGTGCCCCCCACATACAGTGGGTGGCCGGTGTGACTCCTGCCATGCCCATACCAGCCATGCCCAGTGCCTGCCGGGGGATCATGAGTCCCTGAGCTCCTTGGGGAGAGAGGCCCCTTTTAAGGCCCCTTCCTGTGCATGTCCACTGCCCGAAGGACTGGGCTTTCCCTTGAGGGCCAGAGGAAGGAAAGCAAGGCAGTGAGGACATCTAATGCCCACCGAGGCACCCTGACCAGGATCTTGGATGGTAGCAGAGTGGCCAGCACTCAAGAGCCCAAGGGGGCACAGCACATTGTGGTTGCCACATGGGGCGCACACAGGGAGGACCACCTGCACCAAGATGGCCTCGGTCGGGACAGGAAGCTCCCGACCGAGGCAACCATAGTGGGTGCCCACACCACCCAGCATGCCAGCCACCCTGCAGAAGGGGCATCTCAGCGAGGTTTCCACTTGCCAACCAGGGCCGACTCTAGGCTGGCTGGCTGCCAAATGGTGTGAAGCAGAGGATTCCACACAGCAGGCAGCACCAAGGAAGGGGCTGGGATTTCTTAGAGTGAAATGGCCTCACAAACCCAGCCTGCTTTGGGGAGGGAGGTGAACCATCTCGGCTCTTGGGATGACCGCAGCGTGGGTTCATGCTGATCTCCAAAGAAAGCCCTGGGTTGGCTGCCTGGCCTAGTCCTGGGGAGAAGGCACCCACCACAGGCTTCTCTGACAGCATACCCACAGGCACGCTGCACCGGGCTGGCCTTTCAGTGACATTTACCCTTCCAGGGAAGCATGTGAACCAGCCCAGAAATAACCTTGCCTTCGGGTCGCAGAAAGCTGATCTGAGGCTGGGGGGAGCCTCCGGGTCAGCCGAGGCTCTTCTGCTCTCAGGGCAGGCCCTTCAGGTCTCCTGAAGGTCCCACACCCCCAGCAGCTGAAGCTGAAGAAGGCAGAGCCGATGGCAGGGTGCGTGGAAGACCCTTGCAGTGGCCCTCCCATGCGGGTAGCCCTCTGCCTACACAAACCAACACCCCCACGAAACCGACCCCTCACCGGCCTGTCCTGGGCCCGCCCCGCCCCACAAACTGCAGGGGGCAGGCCAGGTCCCCGCAGCAGCCCAGGCCCTACTCTGGCTTTCCCAGATGCTGGCTTTCGTGGTCCAGTGAGCATGGGGACAATTAGATTCCTTCCATTTACAATCCAGACCACTGAGGGACAAGGAGACACCCTGTTTCCAAATCTCAGGGTGACAGGCAGGAGAGCGGAGAGGGGAGGGCAGGCCTGTTTCAGAGTTGCCCTTCCTTCCTCTTAGGTGGTGGCACTGTGCAAACCGCACCGGCTTCGTGCTCCTCCCCTTCCCCGGTAGGAGAGGGGCCGGGCGCAGGCTCGGGCTGTGCAGGGCATAAGGCCTGAGGCTTTTTCTGAGGAAGGATCCAGAGAGCAGAGGGTGGGCGGTCCAGCCCATCCCGACCCCCTCGGCTCTAGGGTAGCCTGTGTGTGTGGCTTCACATCTGCTGGGGCAGTGGCTACCGCGGCTGAGTCCAGGTTGCGGGGCTAAGACCCTCAGGGTGCTGCCCAGCGGGGTCTGGGCTCTAGTCCCATCTGAGGAGACCTCAGCCCTTCCCTTCACACAGCGGGCAGCCCCGGGGCCCAGTCGACCTCGCTGTTCAACGCCTTTCCCTGCAAGGCCGGGGTCTGCGGCCAAGGGGTCTCTTCCCTCTCCTCCCCAGGGCAGGCCCAGGGCCGGGAAGCGCCCTCCCA